GAGTAAATGACAAAAACTGAATTCTTCTGTGAACAAAACCTTGAATCAGTCTATGGAGTCAACACTAATGAATGCTATTGCTTAGATTAACAAAAGAGATCAAAAGTCTGTGTGAATGCGTCATAGGTTGATACTCTCATGGACAGACCTGAACACACAGACCAAGGTCACAGACGCATGAATTTACTTAAGCATTAGGGAGGGAAATCCCAAGGGAAGTGAGGCAGGTGTTTTTAGTTTACTGTAAAACATACAAAACATACATGAAAAGATATAAGGAAGTGGAATAACTGGAGTAAAGTTCAAGTTCAGGGCTGTTTGGAGTGAGTGTGTGTGTGTTTGTTTTGTGGTTTAGGAAGCTGTTGCTGGTGGATAATCTAACGTTCTGGAAGTGAGTCACTACATGAGCCTCAGTAATGGGATGAAATCTCACTGACTCACTCTCCCTTTTAAACGCACACAAACACACACACACACACACACACACACACACTCTTAACTCGTCCCAAATGGAGAAAGAAAACAGGATTACATAAAGGGTCAACAGATGGAGTAAGAACACCACAAACAAAAAAACAGGACAAATTGACCTTGGCTACTTTTATCTTTAGTCAGGTGTGACTCATTGAACTGTGGTCAATGACCCTTCCGCTGCAGGCCAACGCAATCTATTAAAATATTAATGTTACCATGATATTACTATGGCACCAAAACATATTTTGATGCTCAATTCGCACTTAAAAATGTCTGCATGTCAAAACATTGAATATCAAAACATACATAAATGACTTATGTCAACAAACTATGCTAGACCTTTTCTCATTACTAACCAACTGGAGAAAAGGTGGTTTTAGCACCTTATTTTATTATTATTATTATTATTATTGCGATTATTATATTTGTTATATTGTGTTACTTCTTTTTCAGGACATTACGTGCTTCGGCAATATTGTAAGCACAACCAAGCCAATAAATTACTTTAAATTGAAACTAAATAGTTTAGTATTAGTATAGTTATGCATTAAAGTATGTTTACACTATTGATACTTTTTTTTTTCATTTAAAAGCAAGCAAAACTTCTGCTTAGCTTGGAAAATGCGCCTCTTTGTATCCGATTCAGTGCCTTTTAGATATTTTTAAGCGTGGTGTAAGGGTCTAAATTCACATTTAGGGGGGCCCACTGTAACTGTCCAACACTAATATGAAGTAAACTCAACAGGTTAGTGTTCATCAATGACTACGTTTACATGGAGATCAGAAATCTAATCATTTACCTTATTCTAAATAAGCCAATATTGATTATGGTGTTTACATGAGTTGCTTTTAGAATATTCTTTTCATGTTCCCGTTTTACATGTTATATTTCATAGTTTGATTAATGGGACTGAGTGATTATCCACAGACCTCCTCCTCTTTTTACAGTAAATCAGCATTTTCATCTTCTCCTAACAGCTGACAGGAAATGTCGGAAGAAAATAAATAGTTTTCACATGACCACTTACACAGGATTCATGCTTTACAGACCCTCTACGCCACTTTAGATTGCCTCCCGGGAGAACAGACTCCCCTGCTGCTATTTTGGGCTGAAAAAGCGGCGTCGTTCCTGGAAGTGATGACGGACGGAAGCTTCCGCGGCGGTCCGCAGCGCCACCTCGCGCTCGCTGCGTGCACTGCTGAAGGTGAGTCAGCACGCTGCAGTCACTCAGCAACAGCCTCCAGAGCGGCATTTAGGTCAGATGAGATCACCGCTATGCTTAGTCACCGTGACACAGAAGCGTCTTGCGAATGTTTGTTTGTGTGAGTGACTGGATGACATGACTTCACGTGGACCTCACCAGCAGCACAGAATTCAACAAGATCTCCTTATAAATCTTAAATGTATAAATGAGTTATCAGCATGAAATGTAAATTACCAACATGATACAAAAGCTGAATAGATCAACTGACATATTAATACACAAATGATGACCAAAAATACCTTAGATTTTGAATGCACTTCTTTCCATGAGGAGGGTTTTCCACTTGTATGTCAGGTACCAATCTTTCAAAGTGAGAAATTAAAAAATAAATAAAATAAAAAAACCCTTTAAGACAGAAAACAGACAGAGATTTGATATAAATGTGCAAAATGACCATGTAGGCTACTGTGGGAATCTTGCATGGGAAGTTGAGCAAATATTTAACAGGGAAATGCAATTAAAATTCACAGAGAACACGGGTCAAAAATATTGTCTGCAAGGGCGTATTTTAATTTCTATGGAATAAAATGGTTTTCAAACGGGTCTGCAGTGCACTATAGGGGCCCTCAGGAAAGTAAGTAAATGCCGTTAAACGCTCAGTAACTGCTAAACCTTAACCCTGGGCATCAATAAGAAAATAAAGTAAATGAGATAACAAGGAACAAGTAAATGCTAAGGAAATAAGATCTAACTTAACTAAAATGCTTCAAGAAAATAATTACCACATGCAAAAATTCCAAACATTTCTTATTTTTAAGCTTAAATACAAATGTACGGATACGAACAAATTAAAATGACTTGTTCTTTTGAACTTTGGTATGTTTCTAAATCACATATTCCATGCTGTTTGAGGCTTCAGCATGACTTGCAGACATGAGGGACGGTAGCGGAAGATGATAATGATGACGACGATGTCTAAATATGGAGGGATGTTTCTCACACACACACACACACACACACACACACACACAAAAACAGGTTTGTTTTTGTGAAAAGTGGGGACATCCCATAGGCGTAATGGTTTTTATATTGTACAAACTGTATGTGCTATTGCCCTACACCTAAACCTACCCCTTACAGGAAACTTTGTGCTATTTCAGATTTTCAATACACTCCATTCTGTGTGATTTATATGCGTTTTGAAAAGTGGGGACATGGGGTAATGTCCTGAAAAGTCACCTTCTCCTTGTAATACACTCACAGCCCAGTCGCCTCTGAATCCACACACACTTGACGTCAACACTACAGATTTACCAGCACTAATTAGGGCCTGTTCATTACATAAGACTGATCTCAACCTCACTCCACTGTTGGAGAAAAGTGCATCAGCTTGAGAGGAACCTAATATAAAAACATAAAAGGACTGTTTTGTTGGAAAGGAGTTGGTACTGCCAATACTTTTTTATATTAATACTCATAGTTGTGTTGTTTGATAACCGATTGCTATTACTATTGCTCATTGTTTGTTTGTTGAGGTGTGACATTACTCTTCCAAGTTTTCAGAATCATACTTCCATTCAAAAGTTTGGTATCTGTAAGATTTTTTTAAATGCTTCAGAAAGAAGTCCGTTCTGCTCACCAAGACTGCATTTATTTGTTTCAAAGCTGAATTTTCAGCATCATTGCTCCAGTCTTCAGTGTCACATGATCCTTCAGAAATCATTCTAATATGCTGATTTGCTGTTCAAGAAACATTTCTTACTATTAATGTTGAAAACAGCTGTGCTGCTTCATATTTTTTGTGGAAACCAATACTTTTTTCAAGATTATTTGATAAATAGAAAGTTAAAAGAACAAACGAAATCTACAACTTAATGTCTTTACTGGAACTTTTAATCAATTTAATGCATCCTTGATGAATAAGTGTTCACTTCTTTATATCTTACTAACCCCAAACTTTTAAACATTATACAATTTGTATACAAGTAGTATACAATTTTTTACCTGTCACACAATAACAATTGCATATAGCATAATGCTAAAAACCAATCAGAAACACCATGGCGCCCACATAGCAACACCCTGGTAACCACCCACATTACCATCATTAAAATCACTTAAACAGCTTTCTTGTGGCTTATTGCTTTAATGACCACTAAAGTCCCAAAAGAGACTGGTTCACAATGATTGTTTTTCTTCACTTTAATTTGACATTCATCCCTTTCCATTGATGCTTATAACATGAAATGGTCTAGATACAGAATGCATTAAATCAAATGTGAGAATGTTAACAAAAAAATAGCAAAAATGAAACAAAGTCTAAAAAACAAAAAAACTCTTGGGCACTTTGCATTCCCCCTTCCGATCTTGCAAGTTTAACATTTTGGGTCAAGCTGGATGATAAATCACTGCAACAGGCAGAGCTCATTATGATCCACCATCACTATATCTCAGCAAAGAAAACCTCTTCAACACAAGTTAAACACCTCAGACATTACTGCCCTGAGCAGCACTAATAACAATGCAGATTAGTGGAGACACACCCCGGTCAGCTCACCTTTCAGAGTAAAACCATATTCTTTTACACTCCAGGAGCGCCGTACAGCAGCTGCAAGCTAATCCTACAGTAAAAGGCCCGAGGAGCATTGTGTCAGCAGTGAACATCTCTGGCCACATCTAAATCACTGAAGAGAGACAAAACAATTGCGCATTCAGATGGAGAGGGGGCGAGAAATCCTAGACACGGCTCAGACAGGTGTGAAGTAACCCTAGATTGAGAATAACCTGAAAAGTATCAAAAAAGCGGTAAAAAAAAAAGAATGCGGTAAGATATGAAGAAACAACTTTTGCAGCAGGAGGGAAAGTTCAAAGCGTGACAGATGCGATAAATTATAAGACATCAAAGAGAGTACAGATGCCTGCGAGAGATGCTGTCAGACCGCAGAAGTGCTTCTTTTAGAGGTGCTAAAAATGATGTTCTATTCATTAAACATGTTCAAGGCATTGGTGATGCACTTCAAGCTTGAAAGCAAACGTCCAGCATTAACTTTCAATTAAGAAAACAGAAAAACAGAATCACTTTAATTAACAACATACATCCAAACATTCTGCACACGCTTATTTGCAGGAGAAAGCTATTATAACGAGCAGTTAGTAATGTTAACTTCTTATTGCAATCTTTCTGGTAAAAATTGATATTGTCAATATCAATATCCAGATTTTAGGTCCAGATTTGCTGCGCTTGTTTGAAGGGCTGTACAATTTGGCCAAAAATGTTATAATTACATAAATATGACAGTAAAATATGAATTGTACTGTACATTTTTTTTTTTTTTTTTTTACAGTGCAACTATACAATAATTGAATCAAAATAACTCTTTTTTCAAACCGTAAAGCTTTTCTTTTGTTGACAAGTCAGCATTTTATAAGCGCTTCTCATTCAAAGTTTGGGAAGATGGATGGTGCATGGTGTGTTTCCAAATACACGTTATAAGTGTCCCAAACTTACAAGTTCATGTGGATCAGATGAGATTTAGAGATACTGAAATCATCGGCTCATCAGCTGTTCGTGTGTAAAAGAATACAGTGCCTATATATTAATTTAATTAAATCAAAGCTATTGTAATTTGATATTGATCGCAATAAGCCAAATCACATCTCAGTCCACCCCCCCCCGAATTTAAGATGCACTAAAAGTTTCATGAGATCTGACTGAAAGTGAAAAGACAAGTATACCCTACATTTCCATTGAATAAGCTTTACTTAAATTGGTGGAGGGATGGGACACTGATTTCAAACAAAGAAGGCAACTTGCAACAGAATGAATTCAATCTATAAACCTAACGCAACCATTCACTTTCTTTTCAGGTAATAATAAATGAGTTTAAAGAAGTTTTTTTAATTCAAAGACAAAAAAAATGCTCAAAGTCATGGGCCACAAGTTTGAGGTTTTATGAATCAAGTCAATATAAATCCTCCAGGAGAGCATGTTTATGCGCATCTACGGGGCTACAGCATCAAAGCTTTGGTAAACAAACGATTAAAAATGATTCAGAATCAAACGGGTTGAATAAATAACCACAGTGATGCCTTCGTAAGCTCTCACAGTCATAAGCAACACAAATAAGATCCACTATTCCAGTCCTTCATTCATCCACCCAATCACATCGCTCCTTCCCTCCCTCCATTCCTCTCATTGGCTGCATTCGCATCCAGTCATTGGGCGGATTAAAGGCAGTGGTGCAGTTTTCTGTTACCCTAAACTGTACAAAAATAGACGCCTAGTGCTGCTTTATCTAATTTCGAAAACCAACCAAGAAAACAAAATGAATAATAATACAAGTCTTTCAATTGATTCGCTAATATATACAGAAGTTTTTGATCTCTAACCAGAAGGCTGAGTGCTTTATCCTTGTGAATACAACATAAACAAATAACTTTAATATATCTTAAGCTCCGATGCTCAATCTAGATCTCTAAATACATATATATCTGTGCATATAGGTATACATATATATGTAAAGCACACAGTCTGCAGAATTAACTTTAATTTATTGACAGGCAACATTCGCACGGACACTGTGAAACGTTTGTTCGTCTAGCACAGTGTAGTTAAATCAAACGTCTTTTCTTGTGGCAGGAGTCGCACGTTAGTCAACAGTTTTGCCTCCACTTAAAAAAACAAAATATATGCAAACCGCAACATTAAAAGGCATGAAAAAAGTAAGTCACTAAACGAAAAGACGGAAAAGGCAATCGTAAAAAGTCACAGATGAATTCAAAGCACAGGAAAAATAAAGCTGAGATCAGTTGAGATGGTTGGGGGTGATTAAAGGTGCCGAACGATCGTTGGTAAGTGTCCGGCGTAGTTTGACTCCTCTCCGGATCATACTCAACATGTCACCTCCTCTGCCTGGATCAGGAACGCCGTCGACATGATCCACGCCAGGCTGGGCGGAATTGATCTGCACGCTTTCAGTGGGCACGCTAGAATTGTGAGCTGCCATGTTTTGAATCTGCTGCTGATTTTGATGTTTCTGCTGGAGCTCTTTTTGATGTATCTGTTGATATTGCGGCTCCTGCGGTTGGTGATTGTACTGTTGTTGATTATATTGTTGTTGTTGATGATGATGATGATGATGATATTGCCTCTGCTGCTGTTGGTGCAGTGCATACTGCTGTTGCTTGCTCATTTGATACAGCAGCTCTGTGCCGCCCACTGGTGGCTGCCCAGGAAACATGGAATAGTATGGAGGCGGCCCTGCACTCAGACTCTGAGTGGACGTACAGAGACTATGTCTGGTGTGAACCAGATCAGAGCCAGGAACCCTGTTACTCTGCGTCCCTCCAGGAGGGCACATGGTCTCCTCACTGCTCAGGCCGGCGGTAGAAACGGATGCCTTCAGCGGCACCTAAGAGCAGGATGAAAGTGGTTTTCATGGTTAATTTGATAAGAACATCAATAGAACACACTACAGGGATGTATAAAAACATATGGCCTCTTTCTTTGAGCAAGATGTTGCTAAAACAAAATTTAAAAAGCTAAGCAAATACATCCAAAATATTGTGAACAAATTCAAAAATTGTGCAATATCCAATTGGGATTTCTTTCATAACTTGAAACAAAGGAATTTCCCTAAGAATCAAATAAAGATTCCAATTTAAATTTATACAGGATTTGATTCTTGTTTAATTTTAGAGTCCTTATGGATCAGAACCCTACTTGTATTTCATTATTTTAATACATATTTTTATACATTAATACTAATATACGGGATATATATACTACCATTCAAAAGTTTGGGGTCAGCAAGATATACAGTGGGTACGGAAAGTATTCAGACCCCCTTAAATTTTTCACTCTTTATTATATTGCAGCCATTTGCTAAAATCATTTAAGTTAATTTTTTTTCCTCATTAATGTACACACAGCACCCCATATTTACAGAAAAACACAGAATTGTTGACATTTTTGCAGATTTATTAAAAAAGAAAAACGGAAATATCACATGGTCCTAAGTATTCAGACCCTTTGCTGTGACACTCATATATTTAACTCAGATGCTGTCCATTTCTTCTGATCATCCTTGAGATGGTTCTACACCTTCATTTGAGTCCAGCTGTGTTAAAGTCTTGTGCTCACCAAGGCTGCACTGATTTGATAAATACAGTAAAAACAGTAATATTGTGAAATATTTAAATAAATAAAAAATTCTATTTTAAAAATGTAATTGATTCCTCTGATGCAAAGCTGTATTTTCAGCATCATTACTCCAGTCTTCAGTGTCACATGATCCTTCAGAAATCATTCTAATATACAGATTTTCTGCTCAAGAAACATTTCTGATTATTATCAATGTTGGAAACAGTTGCATAATATCTTTGTGGAAACTTGGACATTTTTCAGGATTCTTTTGAATAGAAAGTTCTAAAGAACAATTTATTTGTATAACTCTTTTGTAAAGTTATAAATGTCTTTAATGTTAACTTTGATCAATTTAATGTATCCTTGCTGAATAAAAGTAAGGGTTAGGGTGACTGACCCAAAATTTTAAACAGTAGTGTGGGCTGTAAGCACATTAAATTATTATGTCCTACAGGGGCATTCATCTTATTTGTAGTTGTAAAAGTTATATTAGGAACAATGTGTTTGAAAATAATACTGTGCTGGAATTCTTTATGAAAATTCACAATCCTTCACAACCTGTTCCAAATTATAACAGATATTCCAGCAGGTCTCCTGAACACTGTTTAAGAATTTTCTGACTAGAGTTTGAGTAGATGAAGGACCTGTGGTGTGGAGATGGGGATAGGCACTCCTCCACTGATGGTCCCACGGCGGATGTTAGGCTTGCTGGAGGGTTTACGGCGAATGGTGGCCGTGTGGGGTCCTATAGGCTCCGGATCCATCAGCAGACTGACGGTAGATGCCGGCCTCTTGCTTTGAAACATTTTGCGGTAATTGAGGCTCAAGTCGCTGTTGCGAGGAATTGTGGAAGATTTATCAAATTCAGACTGGCTGTGGGCATCCTCTCCTCCATGCAGGGAGATGTAGTCATAGTCTGAAAGAGAGAGAAACGCAAAAAGAGGAGTCACACACGGTGTTAATGTTAAATGATAGCACTTCTATATTGTTTAAAAGAGAAAAATAATGAAATTCAAGCAGAAATTACATACGCAGGGAATGATAGTGGAAGAAAACACAACAGCTGCTCATCATGTCTCAAAATTTGATGTCAGGGTTTAACAATAAAGATGGCCCAACATTGTGAGTGTTTCGGACAGGACAGTGCATGTGTTTTTATACCTCGCAAACTCAGCTTGGCTTGTGTGATGTTTTTAACACCGTTGAAAGGCAGCATTATCTAATTGTTTAAATTTTAATTATATGTTTAAAGAGGTTTAAATTAAACCTACAAATGCATTTTATATATTTTTAATAGCGTGCATATATATATATATATATATATATATATAGAAAAATAAAAATGAAAAATAAAATAAACAAATATAAATAAGATAATTTTTTTTCTTTTGGACTAAATGCAAATGCAATAAATGCAAACTGCAAAGGGAAAATTCTGCAAATTTGAGATGCATATACAATTTTTTTTAAATAAGTATACTAAAATTAAATAAAACAAACCTAAAAATCTTATTATTGTCTTAGTCGTCACATTATTAATTAATTGCACTAAATTGACAGCCTTAAAAAAATGACTGCATGAAGAGAGCAGTACTGGATTACCTCCTAGAAAATGAATAAAACAGACAAACAAAAGCTCGGTTTGAGAGTGTCTTTCAGTTAAACTCAGGCAACATGAGAAAATGGACAACAGACTAACGAGATGCCACTAGTTATATCTCATGGTTGCACACACTCAAATCTTACGCATACAGATAACACTCTTTCAACAAAGGCACGCCTGCGATATGACATGGATTCCCAAAAATAAAGACATTTAATGTTGTTTATTATTTGGTATATGATCACAATGAGAATAATTAAGTCTATGCAATGACATTCAGAAACCTACCATATAGAGGAGGTTCTTTCTTTACCGCTGTAAAAGAACAATAAAGTACATTTAACATTTATACAAAGGCCCAGAAACATGCACTTTGGACAGCAATCTAAGCCTGTGATTCGTGCAAGCACATCAGATTTGGTCTAAAATTGGACCATAAAGCACATTTGATGCGCACACAAACCACAAATCAGATTACTGTGTTGAGGGTAAAAAAAAAGGGTAAAAATTGAGAAAAAGAAATCTAGACTGAGCACTGTTTATAATCTCTCCAAGTTGTGTGCAATGAAGATTTGAAAGGAAAATTATAGAAAATAATTAGAAAAAGCTCATGCATGTAAGTGTACATACACGCATACTGACCATGCTGCGAGGGAATGGTGTCTTCTGAGCAGGATGGCGTTGTCGTCTGGGTGCTGTATCCGCTGGAGCAGTGCAGGGAATCTCGGCTGGTCCGAGGAGCTTCTGAATTAAGCCCGCCTCCAAGAGCAAGAGCCAGCTGCTCCCTGGCTGACTGTGGCTACAGACAGCAATGAGAGCCAATCAGAGATCGGAAAAAGTGTCAATCACAATGATTCCAGTAGAATCAAAAGGTGTAAAAAAAAAAAAAAATCTCTTTTTGTTTAGAAATCATTCCTGCACTTAAATGAGCGTGTACCTTGCCCAAGGTGGAGAGTGCCCTGGCTCTCTCCTCATGCCCGCTGTAAACTTTGTGCAGTGGGGGCATGGAGGTCCCGTTCTCTGTGCCTGGAGAGTTCTGACCTTTTTCCTACACAAAAATATACTCGGTTACTCCATCTCAACTTAGTAAGTAACAAAAACAAAACACTACGACAAACTGTAGTTACAAGGTAATAAGGATTTAAAGCCAACATGAAATGGTGTTCACAAACCATTTTATCATGATGTGACATAATTAAGCAACATATTAAAATATAGGGCGGGACTTAATTTGATCCAACAGGAAATTTGTGGATCATGACAATGGGCGTTCCAGATCTGAATGCGAGTTTGCAGAGCACTGTGGAGGTTTTTTAACCAGGACATGGAGCTTGAAGGTCAAGTTCACCCATGCAATGGTAACTGGTTCTTTTTAATCATTTTTGCAACTACGTTCTTTTATTTACCTTTATTTGCTACAATTGCAGAATGCTTTATTCTAACAATGTTAACTCTTTTTCCACCACTGACACATTTTGCATAATTTTTGACAAGCTTTATTGATGCAAGCTTTGGATTGTTTTTTTTTTTCATTCTACAACTGATGTTGCTATATGGAAGTAAAAAAAAAAAAAATGAAAATATAAAAGTTTTTCTGCTTGAAAACATTTTTTTTCCTGAGATTTTTGCTTGAATTTTTTTATGATGTTGACAAAGAATGAATCAACTGGAATATTTTTTCTGTTGCTGAAAAATGAATATGTAAAAAGAAAAATAAACAGAAACCTCTGTTTACATATTCATACAACAGAATATTGTGGGGGCAATTTATGAAGATTTGTGAATATGATCAAAAATGTCTGCGGTGGCTGGCAACTTAAAAAGAATACTCTGGCAGGGAAGGAGTTAAACATTTCTACTTAAAATATTTGATATTTTACACAGGCTGCATTACCTACAAAAGTAGCCAAAAAATGAACCCTAAATCCTAAATTCTGCCATTGGTTAACATTAAACTATCAGGAGGAAAGGAAAAATAATGAAGGATTGTGAACATCTGCACACAAGACGACCAGAAATGTATTTAAACAGTCAGTTTTGATTTCATGTTGACTTTAACGACAGTTTGGTAAGTGTAGAAAAGTTCAGATGGGCCTGTCAGAGCATGCAGGTTTTTATTTGTAGATATGCAAACTGGTTAGTGTGTTTGTTTTAAGGCATGGGACTGATACTATATTAAAAAACAGACACTAAAAGCAGAATTTTTTTTTGTTTTAAATGGCTTCTTTCTCCCCTTGTACAGCTATCAGAAGGCGTCCCTCTCAATGGCCTGCAGAGGACGCTGTCTACCTTCACATAGACACAACCTCTACACATGCACGATGAAACCCACAGAAAAACACAGAAGAAAACCATCAGAGGTAAGTGTCCAGGAGTACATGCAACAGTAATGAATCCATCCACAGTCACACACAGCACTACACTGAGTCTATGCTCACAGTGCTCCTGTGCCGGAGGTGTTGGTGGCCCGTGCGAGGGATTGTGGGAGAATTCCCCTCACTGAGAGAACGAGTGCCTTCCTCCCCTCCAACCAGGAGGAGAGGACTGCATGAGCGCTGGGAGATGGAGGTGAGGGGCAGAGAGGAGTGGAACAAGAGAAAGATGAGATTAGATGAATCCAAGCCTCCGTCAAAATACAAACCCCCTTAGACCCCTAAACAAATTTCCTGGTTGAAAGTAACTGCTTTTGGGTATTCTATTCAGAAAATAGTAAAATGCCACTTGTTGATCCGTCTTTTAAATTACAAGTGTCACATAATGTAGCTACTATTGGTCAAATATAAGGCAAGACCCTAAAGGCAAAGCCACTGCTTTTTCATGCATGGCTGTTTCTGAGATATCTCACAATAGATACTTTTTTTCTCCTAGACTGAGCCAGAAATCATTTTAGCAGTACATACACCCAACTTAAAAGTGCTAAAAATAAATATCCAAAATCTCCCCTGTAAAACCTTTAATATGTCAACTAAATTAAACAAGAATTTTGGACCTGGCTTTATCCAATGATCAGATTTCAAATGCATGCAAATTAATGCATTTAATTATATTTGCTTAATTTACTTATTTAAACAACATTTCAGAAAACTTGCAATACAACGTTTAATGTCTTAATGTACTGTGATTAATGACCTGGGAATGTATGGTGATATCTATTAAATAAAAATGTCACCCTATTCCCCTGTGGTATTTTGCCATAATATTTCTTTTCGTCTCCACATTATGGTTAACTCGGCTAATACATTGGACTGATAAACTAGCATACTACACATAATCATAGCAAACTGTATTATAATTTAGTGTTCTCACAATATTAACCTATGCTACTTTTTTGTAAAACACTGAACTGTGTAATAAAACGGTTTAATTTTGTCAAATGTATTATCATGCATTTTATGTTACTATTTTAAGCATCACAACAGTGAAACACTACCTTATTTGCAATACACTTACACTGTACTACCCAGACAGACTACATTAAATATTTGATATTATTTGCACTGAAGCACTGTCCAATTATGATTGTGTACTGATGATCAATTTGCTGATTTGATCTTGGGGTCCAAAAAGGTTGGATTTTGAGGAGGGTTGGATTAGGCACCACAGCAAACACTGCAGGCTTTTATGGTGCTTGCAGCCGGATGCGCTTCTTTGGGCTGAATGAGGCTGCATGTGTGTTCTTGGAGAAAAATTATTCAAACTATTTGGGTTTCTTAGGGTTAATATACCAACTGAACTAGGTACCTTTTGGACCCATTGTTTTGTGTTTTGCCGCGTGTATCCAAGATACCTGTGTTGTGTCTGGTGCTCGCAGATGAAGCCCATCCACTGCACTGGAGATGGAGTCCAGAGATGGGACATGACGCACAGAGGTGTAGTTACTAAGAGAAATAATTTATACTGATTATTTACAATAACATGCAATTGTTTGTCACCTGCGCTCCTCTTTTTCCAAATATTTTCAAAGAAAAATAATATTATATATAAGGCAATGTGCAGTTAGCCGATCACTGTTACATATATCACTGTTAATTATATCTTACTGTAGAAAGCTTAAAAGGTTACCACTAAGAAAGACAGTCAATACAATGTTAAAAAAATAAAATAAAATTGGCCTAGCAGCAAAAAACACTACAATATAAATATAATAATCATCAATTTGCATGTTAGCTAACAGTTCTTGCAACACATTTCTTCCCGACACTGAACTCACCTGCTGATGCTGCTCTTGCGTGATAACGTGTTGCTAGGAGACGCGGGTGGAGTCTGATATGAGTAGCTGTAGTCTGAGCCTTTCAGATCAAGAATAACCTGCATAAACAAAACCAGACCAGGAAGTCAGAGTGCAAGAACATATACAGCTCTAAAGAACAAAACAAACATAATGTGCCTGATTAGAATCCATGCAGCACCTGTTCACTAGCAGGAGGCAGTGTGTTGGGATCAGCCGTCAGATTGCCGAGATCTTCTAGAATTGTCTGTAAGTGGGTGACTTCACCAAGCATGCTTATCTCTTCGTCCTGACATTACAAATAAAAAAATCAACGGTGTGATAATACTTAAGCAGAATAAAATAAAAATATATAACAGCACATTTTCATGGCAATCAAGTACTTTTCCCCCCCAAATTCTCATAATTCTAATGCATTCTGATGTAATAAATGACAATCTTCCTGTTTAATGAAAAGCAGCATCAATTAAAGGCATTAAACCAAATACTCTCACAACAGTCAGGTATTTTACAGTTCAAAATGTTCAAATATTATGGAAATGATAATGTAATGTAAAATGCTGACAAAATGGTGTGGTCTTAAGCCAGGCATTTTCTTTTTGCAAAATATAGTGCCTTATCAGAGTCTGCTCAGACACTCACCAGGAAAGGTTTGAGCATTGTGACGAATGAGCAGAATCTTCCTCTTTCCTCGATAAGTGCTCGACACACGGCTCTCTTCTCAGTCTCCTCTAAAACGGCGTAGCGTGTGTTGACGTCCTGAAGAGCGCTGTCCAGCTGCATCCGCACCTCACCTTTACCTGTGCAAACACAACGACATTTCATAAACCACTGACAGGATCAAAAAGACTTTGACTTTGTACTAAAAAGCACTCAAATTAATAAAGCAAAAAAAAAGCTAGACAGAAATATACACATATAAACAACAACAACTTTGTAATAATTGCAAAAACATGTAAAATTACTAATACTAAAATGAAATAACAATAAAAACTAATTCAATATATTGATAAATGTTATAATAGTATATAAATAGTATAATACTAAAACAACAGCTCTTTGTTGCTGACATTTGATGCTAAAACTCATGTTGTTTGCAACCACTAGGAGGCAGTACAGTTTCTATAAGCACTTAAGACACCATTGATATTTGCTGCAATGCTAATATCTGTTCAAAGAGCCTTGCTGTGCAGATTTCCTTGGTCATTCGTGACCAGGTGTGACGATGGATCTGGGGTCTCTGGTAATGGCACACAGGTGGACTGTATGGTGTGCATGTGTTCTTGTGTTGCATTTAAAGCCCAGCTGCCACTGAGACCCCCTCACATTCCATAGTAGATACTAGTAATACTACTACATAGCAGTGATCGACCAATACGGCTGTTTTTATTGACTGACATCGATATCTAGATTCCATGGTGCTAGGCGGCCAATATAATACAGCTTAATGATAGAAATAAGACATAAGATAACAGATTTCACTCAAACACTCTAAAATTCACTGAAAAACATGAATTGGCAAACATATTGATTAACAAGAAGTTAACAAGAAAAACAAAAAAGATGCAAAGTATTTACCATAAGAGCATAACAGTGATTTTTAATATGATATGATGACTGTTTCTGTCTCCTGGTGCTTTAACTGTACTGATGAAGTGCAATGGGAGAAATGTGAGGTTAATCACATTTAGAGGTTTGTTTACCTCATGCCAGCACACACACCACGTGAGGAGCTTTGAACACATGACCTGGCCTTTTCCTCTGTTTTTCATCTCTCAGCAGATGCGTCATCCCCAACACATCTCATCTAAAACGGTTTCTTTGCTTTTGCAATCACATTACTGCATTTTTCGACTGTGTATGCGTGAGTGCATCAGGACCAGAAATGAACTTTTCCATTAAGGGAATTCATTTCACATTTCACTTCAATGGTGGCAGCCGTCTATCTTAATTGTCCAGGGACATTTTTTGCCCCCTTCTCTTGAATTTGGGGAGCATTTTTGTTCATTTGTTGGCATTTTTGCCCTAAGCCCTTGCTAACTTCCAACCCTGGTGTGCATGATCGGGATGAGCGATACCTTTAATATTTAATCCTAATTTTATATTGTCAGCAAAAACATCACATATATATCATGCAAATGCACAAAAGGTTCTTTATAATGGGGGGGGGGGGGGGGGGGGG